GCTGTTCGGAAGTAAGCTTGCAGCTCAAACCAATTTGTGAGAATGCGAAATATAACTTTTCCTCTCACAAGCCACCTCGTAGTTGAGTACTTCTCAAACGGTGCATCTTGCACATCATCTGGATTCATCACTTCGTAGAGCGTCTTGTATGCTTCTCTTTTAATAGCGCTCTTTGAAAACCATTTCGGAATTTCTGCCAGAAGAAATCCTACACTCGACGTAAGTTTCTCAAATGCATGCTGAACACAAAGGGACAACGAATGGCAAATACACGTCATCTTGATGCAATGAGGAGCGACAGCAGCTATTCTTGTCCACAGCGAATTGTGTTCCCCAACCATCACTGAAGCACCGTCACTAGCATAGCCCAACACAATGCACTAAATCAAGTTTAATTGTGGCAAGGCAATCTTTGATTGCATTAAAAAGATCATCTGCTGAAGTGTGGACAACTGGAACCAGGTCCACAAACGCTGTAACGATCTTATTTTCAACTTCGCTGAAATACCTTACGATAATGCAGACCTGCTTCGATGTGGAAATATCAGTAGATTCATCCACAATTAACGAAAACTTCTTACCCTGGACATCAGCAATCAGTTGTTCCTTCAACGCTGGACTTATAACTTTGGGTCAATAGTTTTGAGCATATGTTTCTATGCATTTTAATGTTATCAAGTTTGCTTCCATGAGCATTTCGGGCTATTATCCCTCCGAGATGATCCATGGTCAAGATTGCCGAATGGCAAGCCATTGTAACAGCTAGCTCGATCTCGGCGACCTTTACTTCTTCTGCAACTTTTGGGACACGTACGACTTGGATGGGCCTTGTAGTAGTGGATACTTTAATGTGTTTGATGTGTTTGTCAGTTTTTTCGTGTTTGGTTAAGTTTGCTTGTTTGGGTCTGATTGTGGCACGGCACAATTTACAAAAAGCATCTTCACTTCCGTCTGAAGCTTTTGTGAGCCAGCTAAATTTACTTTCCCAAGACTTGTTATATTTTCTTCCGCTATCATGCGCTCCTTTCCATTTTGATGCCATAATATTGCAACGAATAACGTTTTTATCAGTCTTAACTAGTATTAGTAGTGGTCGAACGTGCTATTTATAGCTAGATGTCGGACGTCTACGAAGACAAAGCTGTGTGCTTGCTTGTAATTAGCTGGTTAAATTGCATGACAATTGGCTGAATTATACTTAGCTGTGATTGGATGAAAAGAATTCAATGCTCAATTTGATCCTTATGATCATTTTTAGTTGTATTTCCATCGCATTTTGTACATTTAAGAGATTTTTACAAATAAAGCTCAATAAAAATTTTAAAAAAATTGTTTGACTAAAAAGAGGCCAAAAAGTAGCCAAATAGCCAAAAAAAAATTTCGAGGCCAAAGAAAGAAAAAAAAGGACAAAATCGAGTTATTTGGCCTCAAAAAGGCCAAACTAACAACCCTGGTTGGGAGACTGGGACTGTTATTTTGTAATCCTTAATCTTTACCCGATTCCATGATCTTCAATCTGATTAACATGTTGCTTCTTGCAAAGATTCTTTAAAATTTAAAAGTTCCTTCGTTATATCATGGATTATCCGACACGGATTTAATCGAAACTTGACAATTTGATTGCACATATACTAAAAAACAGTGTATTGGGAATCGAACCAAAAGACTAAATTTTCCGCTCTTTGAAGATCCCCCACAGCTGGGCTGTTTTTTTTCTTGGAAAGTTTAGACGATTTTGGCTATTGAACATATTTTGAATATTTTATAGTTCCAAAATTTGATCTTTGTAGAATTTTTGAAGCTCAAAATTGGTAAGTTATTGCTTGATCGTAATAGACAAAAACAAGAGCTTTGTCGTTTAATTACACTTCACAATATAAAGATACAAACAATAAACAATTATCAGCTTTTTTATAATGCCGGTTTATCATTAAAATGCTTAAATATCCAACTTTACACCCCAAATACATGCAAGTTTAACTTTCACATTTACAATAAGTGTTAAGTAAAAGAATATAAAAAATGATTAAACTGAAATCACCCAAACTGTTCTAAAATGCAGAATTGCTTAAACATGACGCTGTTTTTTCAACGAAAGAGAAGATGGCTGTAAATTTTAGCTGATAGACCCTAGGTTCGCTCAGCTAAGCATCCATAGCCTTCAAATTGCATTTCTTTTTGTTCCATGGTTGTATATGACAAGTAGTACAAGTTTAGTCCCACACCAAGGTCACTGTTTTTTGATGACTTAACCGAAATAAAAATCCCTAATGGAAAACCTGAACGGTATAAACCAAAACCGAACACAACGGCACGAGAATTTGGAGAATACTGAAGAGGAAAAACCATTAGGGATTTCAGCCGAAGTTCCGCGCCCGGGGACCCTTAGAAACAAAATCTTTACTTACCTTTGCAACGATGCAAATACCAAAAAAGAAAAACCGTCAATTTCTCAAAAACACCTTCAAGTCCAAAATCTTTTAAGTATTTTAGTTATGGATATAATTCGCCATTTTAACGTACATACAACTTACGTACAAACCGCCACATTTTAGTTTTACCGCACGTAAACCGATCAGCGAACTCGACAATTTTCTACTTTGGACGAGAAAATTGTGTAATTTGATGGGAATTTCTTTTAACGTGTGTTTTCTTATCTAATCCACATCCGAATCAGTCGCACCTAGCGCCACCTTAGCAGTCCCTATTTTCACTGTTTCATTCAGTGCTTTGCGCGCCCGGTGCCACTAACGCTTAAAGCTGGAGCAAGCGCTTGCTGCATGACATGGATTAGATAAATGTACTTCAAAATATTTTAAGCAGACAGACGAAATTTAATATTTTTTGAAACAATTTAGAACACTTGAAGAAGCACACGTTAAGTTTGGTTACCGAGGGACCGTGGATGGTAACCAAACAACCGGCAGCGCTTGATTTAAGTTATGTTTTAGTTTGACAATTATCACATAGATGACTACATAGCAACGCGAATGGTGAACATGGAAACCATCGTGTAACTATTTTGTATCATATGTGATAACGTCTGCGGTTTGTCTTCATGGTAACCATCAAAGAAAACAAACAATGTGCTTTTATTAAAACTATGTTTCGTGTTAGTTTGGTTAATATGAAGCCATTCCGCATACTTAGACCTGGTGTACTAAACATTTTTTTTAATGCCTGTTTTGCTGTGGCTTGCCGCATCGAAATTCCCAGGAATGAAGTTTTCTTAATAAGAAAACAACATATCCATTTTTACATTTACAGTAATTGCCACGCCGCTCCTAAACTGTAAATGTCTTGACAAACTGAAGACTATTTGAGTTTCAATTTGTCGATTTGAAAATGACTGACAAGATTAAAGTTTTCTTCGAAAGATTTTGAAAAATTTAGTCATTTCTCTTGATAGTGGAGTTCATCCTTTAAATTTATAAAGGTTCTAACCCCATACTCATTATCTAAGCGTAGCAACTACTCGCTGCAACTACAGCGCATGCCTAAGCTATCTAAACTTCCTACCTGCGCATGGCACCGGAATTCCGCCCTGAAAGGAATGCCCTTGAAGGAGGTAACCCATCATGCCCTTAACTTAACTTAACCTAGTGCATGTTGCACCTACGGGCGACCTCCAACCGGGGTGGGTTGAACTACTCATGCATTATAGGGGATCCATGCAGGAGTGCCTTAATAGTCAATGTAGAAAGCCGTTCATGAAATTGGCCAACTACAACGACTGCATGCTCTTACCGTACTAGGGGAGAGATATTTTTCTTTCCACCAAAACCACGATCTTCCATTGGTCTTCAATAGGCTTTGCTCGCTTGATCCAATCTTCAAAGGTCTTCTTACAGATGCTATTTGCATCCTCTACGCTAAGGTACCATTTGTACCCACTAACCCCAAGTTGAAGTTGCCTTCCTTGGGCCAAACTTCACTCGCATTTCCGATTCTAAGCTATGGCCCTGTCTATCCTTCTGCGAGGAAACAGCCGCTGCGACCATGCGTAGCTCCTTAAAGCAGTATATTCACACAGAAGTTTTTCGAAGGTAAATTATATAGAACAACACAATTGTTGCATGCAAGTCACAGACTTAAAATACTTGATACAAATTCACGCTTACTAAGACACAAATTTTTAAAAGAATTAAAGCAGCACCGATAAACACTATTGGATTATTTTAACCCAAAGAATACTTTTATTACCTCTTAATCAAGACTATTTTTGAAAATGCAGATGTAAATTTCTTTAAATATATATATTTGCATTCCTGCATTAAAAAAATAGCCTTACAGTGGAATATACTGAACACCAGGATTTGTTGTGGCTATTGCCCGAATTATATTAGAGATTTGACCTGTTAACAGGCCTAACTAAATAAAAGGTTTATTATTATTACACTTACGGTTTTCGACGAATCCTTGGCAGTTCGACGACAGACTACGATGAATGACAAATCTCATGCCAATTGTGAAGATGAAACGATCGGATGTTGAGCAAGGACAGCCACAAAAAAGCCCAAAATAATTTTTGAAAATTCAGAACGTTGATGGTGAAACCATCGTATCCAATTTTCAGGCTACCTGACAAACATCACCGCTTTTATGTCGACGACGGCAAGCACAGAAACAAGATTGGCCATTTCTTGCAACTGTGCATGTCGTCTACGGCATTAAATCGGAAATATCGACAGCCAGTCGGAAAATTAGGATTTTAGGTTTTCATTTTCATGTTAAAGAAATTCCATGTTTTATTACAAAATTTTCAATTAAATAATGTTGAAATTTGGGCATTTGATAGCGGCGTGGTTTTATCCATCATTGCGATTGATTGACCAGTCGTGATGTTAGCAGGAAAACTCCCAGGAAAATGTTTTAGAAAAGGTCATAATATTGACTTTTCCATGGAAACAGGCGTTAGGCTGATGGTGCATTGCTCCAGAATAGTGTTTAGCGTTTGCATTCTTTTTAGAGATGGTCTTTAAAGCATTAGAAGTCACGTATTTTTCAATTTCATCAAAGTGTATTGTTCATTCTTGATCATTTTTCAGAAGAGTTCATTAATGTATATTGTCCATTCTTGATCATTGTTCAGAGGTCTTCGTTAAAGTAAATTGTTCATTCTTGAGCATTCTTCAGAGGACTTCATTAAAGTATACTGTTCATTCTTGATCATTGTTCAGAGGTCTTCATTAAAGTACACTGCCCATTCTTGATCATTGTTCAGAGGTCTTCATTAAAGTAAATTGTTCATTCTTGAGCATTCTTCAGAGGACTTCATTAAAGTATGCTGTTCATTCTTGATCATCGTTCAGAGGATTTCATTAAAGTACGTATATTGTCCATTCTTGATTAGAAGGTTTCTACATAGGACAATTGAAGCCAATGTCAGTTGACACTACTATACTTCCATAAATGAAAAACATTGATAACATACTTACATTGAACATTTTATTCACTAGTAATGTAGTTCAAGGGAAGAAGAATTTCAACCAAATTACAGAATTGTATTTTGTTCTTATGTTTAGATGAGCGTCGAGGAACTGGTCGACAACAGCCACAATTCTCTTCAGCCGCTGTGAACAATAACCACTTTCTTTAATTGTGGAGTCTACGATCATGGTAAATACACCAACATTTGTTCGTTGTTTCTCAATCTCATTTGATGACTAACTGTCGTTTAAGAGAAGAATGTCCATGTCTAAAATCAAGCATAGAGGAAACAAAAGTTACTAAGACGGAAACTTTATGGGAAGGCCACACTGCACTTTGCATTAATGAACATCACATGCAGTGTCCCAATTCAATGTTTACTCAATGCAAAAGAACTTGAAACAACACGATTACCTGAACATTTTTTCAAAGCACTCCAAGAGATATTTCACCTTGGAATAATTTCGACTTCGGCTAACTGTTCTTCGTGCAACTACAGACTTTCACGTTCAAATGGCATGTTCTTAGTTTTAGACTATGGCCCAAGTTTCACGAACGTGTTGTATTCTGATTTGTCAGTGACTAGGCGTGTTGTAAACGTGTTGTGTTCAGATTGGTCATTTACCTGGTGCGTCGTCAATTGTACATTGTGAAATTTAGAATTTGCATGATTCATCACATAGAAGTAATTAATCCCCATAGAGCGGTAAATGCAATTTAATACAATATAAATAAAAACGTATACTTCTGCTACAGCAAATAGCAAATCCCAAACATTTAAGTCTCCTTGGGGAACAACTACAGCTGAATCATGCAAATTCTAAAGGTCCACTGATGTCAAAAATGATTTGATGAACCCTCTAGATTGTTATCTTCATCTCATTTTCTTATTGTATTTATTAGCATTAACATTTGATCTCTTTTATTTAGCATTCTACAGGGTGTACATAAAAACGACGTTTGGCAATTAAACTACTGTAAAATTTCGAAACCCAATCACTGTGCTAACCTCACTAATCTTTTGTGCTTGCATCAACGTAGCTAACAATGTTCCATGCACCTGTGGGCTTGGCGTAGTGACAGACATTGAAATTATATAAAGGTCTTCAATGGTAAATGAAGGCCGACCAACTAATTTTGGACAAATCAAAGGAGTGAACCGGATAGAAAAATATTATTACAATGTATTTTTTTTTATTCAACTATCAGCAGGCATTATATGTTGTCCCTTTTAAAGAATTTTCAATCTCCATGCGACAATGTGAAAGTGTGTAAAATGAAAGACTATAGTCTTTGGCGTGAAAATGTGTAAAATTGCAAAATTCTAGTCTTTGGCGTGAAAATGTGTGAAAATGCACAGTATATAGTCTTTGGCGTGAAAATGTTTTGAAAATGCAAAGATTATAGTCTTTGCTGTAAAAGTGTGTAAAAATGCAAACACTGTAGTCTTGGTGTGGAAGTGTGCGAAAATGCAAAGACTATAATCTTTGGTGTGAAAATGTGTGAAAATGCAAAGACTATAGTCTTTGGTGTGTAAGTGTGTGAAAATGCAAAGACTATAGCAAATACTGACAAATTATATCTGTATACAACACATACAATTAAGAGTCGTTGAAGTTGATGCATCAGGAAATTATTCTACTTTGTAGACATATTATATTTAAATATACTGAACTATACGAATGTTATATATATACAATATAACTTATACAATTTCTATGCTCTGTTTTTTTTCGACAGACATCCTACAAGTTTTACCTATAAACCATTATATGCAGAAGGAACAGTTTGTTTTGTCGATGTCGTCGTTGAAACAGATGATACCGTTGAAGTTTGCCTGTAAAATATTTGCTGAAAGTTTAGAGAAAAATTGATAAACTATTCATGAAACAAGCCAAAGTTTGAGTTCTTTGTGTTGTATTACTACGAAATAAAAGACTTTTACTGTGTTTGCACGGGCTTATGCAAAACGAGGAGACCTTTGGAAGAACACGAGAGCAGATCAGTGCAAGCCCAAAACCGAAGGTAGAGTGTTGCACATGCTCAAGAGTTCTCCGAAACGTCTCCGAGGTTTGCATAAGCCAGAGCAAACAGGAAAAATATCTTTTTAAAAAATATCAATAATGCGAAGTACACAACTTTAAAACAAACGTTTTAATTTTTCCTCTAAAATGTATTCATGATTGATTTGCGAATTCTCTTTGATTGATTTGATTTGTTGAGCTCAGATCGGTTTGCACAAGCTAATGAAAACACAGCTATACACCAATCAGCGCATGCGCTTGATTGCTTTTTGTTCTTGTTTTGACTTTCAATTTTTTCTGTCTATTCTTGCCTTACAAACATTAACACTAAAAAATCGTTTAATATTCTGTATATTGAACAATAAATTACACTCAAACAAGATCACGTGTTTACTCAAATGAAAAAGATCACGTGTTTACTCACAAGAAAAAGATCACGTGTTTACTCACATGAAAAAGATCACGTGTTCACTCACATGAAAAAGATCACGTGTTTACTCACATGAAAAAGATCACGTGTTTACTCACATGAAAAATGGAAAGTATTTGAGCAAAGAACTCTTGCAAGGATTTTCACCTAACTCTGGAACAGCACCCAGACTATAATTGATCAATTTTCTCAAGTAATTTTCCAATTGTTTCCGACGTATTTCCACAAAATTGACGTCACGATTTCCAATAATTTTCTTCGCGGGAAACGTGAATTATGCAACAGGTTTAAACTGCTTGCTTGTCTGTGCATAAAAAGGAAAAGGAAGGGATTGTACATTACAGCAAAAAATATGATTAAAAACATTAAAATACTGATGTTTATTAAAAACCTTCTTATGTAGGGCATAAAAATCCGAGTATCTTTTGTAAACATTCCATTCATTGTCTTTGATACGGATATAAACCTTGTGAAGTAAACAATGTTAAATTCTTTATTGACGACAATAAATGGACCACTGCGCAGATGCTATATATATATATATATACATAGGAAGTTTATATTTGATGATTCTCCGTATAAAACAGTGCTCGATGCCCGAGAGCAGAGCGTAAATATGTTTAGTGATGTCGAGAAAAAATCACAAAACTACAGTTTCATCCCGACAAGCCTGTTTCGTGATTAAAGGAAAATCCCCTGAAGAGTGAGCAGTCACGAAACAGGCTTGTCGGGATGAATCTGTAGTTTTGTGATTTTTTCTCAACACCACTAAACATATACATATGAAAAGTGAAATATTTGAGCAGTAAATTTAAACTACGACATGATCTTTTAAATACGATGACCACAAACACTTTTCTCAAGGGTGATGTATTTGAAACGAGAAAAATACCAAATATAGATCATAAATCTTGAAATATAGTCCCTAGTTATCCCTAACCTAGTCCAGATAACCATCAACATCACATCGGAAGAGTTATTTACTTTTTTTAGAGATAAATATATGGAAAAAATTATACCTGATAAGAATGGTGAATGTTTGGAGACTTTCCTTGTACAAAAACAGATGGAATCCAAATGTTAATTAAAGGACGAGTATTGACAGACATGAAATTTGGACCAAACTCCGTCAAATATACACATTCCTCATGATTATTGTCCTGAGGAAGCTAGAACATACGAAGATACGTAGTTTTATTAAGAAATACTTAGAAAATCAAACGAATATTTACTGCTTTTCATATTCATACCAAACAGTTCATATTGTACATACCGATCAATATTGTACATCTATTGTACTATAATGAACACACGGGTCTTTACTGAACATACCGGTCCTCTAAGATTGACAAGCTCTTCTTTTACTATTCTTAGCTGACATTCACGAACATTCAACATTTTTTGTAGTCTTTCATTGAGTTCAATAAGTTCGCCATGCATATCAGCGACCTTTAAACATGATAAACAACATTTCATCACAACTTACGCCATGACGTCATCACCATGAAATTCCCCAGGGATGAACAAGAAACGCGAAACCAGTCAGCATGGCGATATTCATCTTCATGTAGCATATGATACATGAAAACCTTTTAAGGCAAATGTTTCGATTTGTGAAAGTATTATGGTTTAATGGAAATCTTACTTGGATCAACTTCCGCTCAAAATCTTTGTTTTCTTCCTTTCTACAAGAAAAAGAAACGAAATTCAACGCTGTTGATTCACTTTTGCTACAAATTTACGGTAAATACCTCACTTCGTCGACGTCAGATTCCGGAGAAAGAATGATAGAAGAAAGTCTTTCATTTTCTGGAGCTACACAAAAGATTATCGAATATCTTAGATTTCTACATCTATTTTAAAGATAAACTATCCCTCTAACAAACCTTCTTCCATAATGTCATTTCTTTTCAACGATTGAACAGCACCCACGTATTTCTTTAGTTGGTGTTTGAGCAAATCATTTTCACTAAAGAGCAAAAACGAACAGGTCAACAGACATCTTTGATTAACGGAAATGCAGAGTTCTCAATGTCCTAACCTTTTTAAGCCGTTAAGAGCGACGCAATTTTCTTCATTTTTCGACGACATATCTCTTTTTAAATCTTCTAATTGAAGACGAAGGGAAGCTGACTTCATCATCTCTTTTTCCAAATGTTGTTGTAACGATCTACAGGAAAGATGACCGAAGGAAAAATCAGGGCAAAATAGTGTATATTCGAATGGAATGTTAATATTAAACGAAGGACGATAATACAACCTGTTACGTTCTTCAACTTCATCTTTTCTTAACATCATCGATACAATCGCCTGTTTTAATTCCTCTTCAACAATAAAAACCACGTATTTATTGATATTCATGAAATTATAATTATTCACACATACAAATATTCAGTTCACATGATGAAATTTGACGGATGTCTACAAACAAGCAAAGCAACTACGATACAAATAGTAAAATCCAATTGCACTAAACATTTCTATTTTTAAAACTAACTCTACCTGCTAATAGCCCATTTATAGTTTGAGAACCAGAGGCAAAAGTGCCTCTCCCGTTCCGAAAACATTTTTTCAAAAGATATAAGAAATAAAAACCATTTAAATACATGAATAGAAAAAACACACAAACCTGAAGTCATTTCTTTGCCTGATGGATATTCCTCTGATGGCTAAAGAACGAAAACATACCAAATATAACGAACTAAATATAACAAAGACATTTACACATGGCTTTCTACCCTACCCCCCCTGAAAAAAGATAAAAGCATTCCATAATTAACTAACATTCATACAACCATCACCCATGGTTCTGACCAATGACGATCCTGAGTAATCATTAATTTCTATGCTACCATCACGTGTGGCACATATCGCTGCAACAGTTGCTCCAATTGCTAAACTTGCATCATTCTCGACGTCTTCATCAGTGTAAATACTGAAAACAACATAAATTACCACCTCAGTTAAAATGGTGAACTCGTTAGACATTCTTGTCGATAAAATAATGAAGTATCTTCTAACCTTGAAACGGGCGAATCATTTATTGAATGAACTAAATGTCGCGACGTCTCAGGTGCAACAGTAAATCGCTCATTTTCATCTGACATAGCTAGACCCTAACTCCTTTATCGTCATCGGGGCAAACTACGGGAATTAGAGATACACCGCTGTTCATATCAACAAGAGGCTCACACACTTCTTCCTCCGACAAGAGCGATGAGTCAGTGTAATGCCCTGATTGCAAAGATGTTGTCAAAGAATGATTTTTTCAAATCATTCGCAGTTTTAAACTCGTTTTAAGATGCAGAACTTCCTGGCTTTTCTTTGTTAATCGAGCCACTTGTTCATCTGTTTCATTCTCCTTGTTCTCAACGTTGGTTTTCGCCATTGTGGAAGAAAGACTTGAATTCTCAGAATTCGAACAATAAGCCAACTGAGAGTTCTTTGGCATTTCAAGAAAATCGTCAGGCCTTTTAGTGAAAGCATGGTTACCACGAGCATGTACCTGAGAATCAGTATTACGTTGTAATATGTCGTATGCCGCTCGGGTAAAACTCGTGGCACTATCGTGAGCAGTCGTTGTTGTGGAAGAACTACCATGAGAACTGACAGAAGTTCCTTCTTCCGTCTCTTTGAATTCAACATTTTCAATTTGAGCAATGTTTGCTTTCTTTTTTTTACGTTTTTTCTTTTCTTTTCCTGAAACACAAAAGAAAGATAAAATTAAAATTAATAAAGACGCGTGGATAAATGACTACGCATTGTTCAAGTATGATAAAGAATAAATGAGGACGCGCGGTTAAGGGATGATAAGGGATGAATAAACAACAGGTATAGTTAAGGGATAAATGAAGACATGTAATAATGGGATAATAAAGGTTAAGGAGAACGCATGGTTGGGGGATTACAAGGAATAAATGACATGTGTGGTTAAGGAATGATAAGATTAGCGATATATGAGATGAATGGTAGGGATAATTAGGGATAAAAGGGATATTTTTGATCAGGAGAGAAAATGAAATTCTGATCAAATCTTTATTTTCTTAAAATGTTGTATTTAACAAACTTCACCAGGAGCTCCTGACGTCGCATACATTGGTGATGGTACAGCCCATATTGATGTTGGACGAGAAACTGCTTGGCTGATATTGCCTGGAATCTAAAAATTAAATTAAATTCAAGTAGTTAAAGAAAAGTACATTCATAGCTTCCACTTTTTTACTATCCATTTCTATTTGCAAAGATTCATTTTAAACAATATCAATAGCATTCCAGCATACCTGTACAGTAATAGAGTTAAACTCAGCTTTGTCAATGTCAATTGCAAAAAGAATTGAACTTAAGCCTTAAAGAAGAAACAAGGAATGATAAAAAATCCATTATAGAAATATAAACAAGTTTATTCTTACCAGCAGCCATCATTGGTAACATACTAGATCGTTCATCATCCAATAATAATGCATCTTGCTCATAATACTGACTGAAATTAAAACAATTACACATCGTATAATTATTCTGACATCAACAGCTTACCGTTAAAAGAAAACTGCATTACTATATCGCATTATACATTGGTTATGATAATCATATAGCTTATCAAGCCAAAATCGATCTTTCTTTCTTAAATGTTACTTAAATCAAACTTACAAAAGCAACTGTTTATGCCCAATGAAGCTATGAAGATATTTCTCCAATGATTGCTCGTTTAAACTAGACCTAAGCCATGCTTGAGCTGTCAAATAAATATCAAAAATAGAAAGAAAAATGTCAGAACAAATTCATGGCATACAAAAAAGGTTTTACCCACAAACATTCCTGGAATCATTTAGAAACCAACAACTTGACCAACCTCTACCAACATCTGTCATTACATTATGTAAAGAATTATATGTCTTTATTTCACTAGAGCTAAGATGTTCCTTGATAAATAGCCAGAACACAGATTGACCTTCAGATCTCATTAACACCTGCCTTTAATGAACATAGAAATGATGAAAACAAATTATTTAAGAATGGCTTTTAAATTGACTGAATTGAGAGAGGAATGATGAAGATACCTTAAAAATTTATCTTTTTGTGGATTTAATGCCAAATTGAAGAACAATGTTCCATTGCTCACAAAGACAAGAGATTCTGTAATTCATCATAAATACAAAGATTATGATAAATAAGGATTATACTATGAAATAAAATGAATACAATACAATACAATCGAAGAAATATCAAGTTCACCTGCTATCCTTCTTAGAAGCCAATTCGGTTGTACTACCAAATCGTACCTGACACTAAAGAAACGACGAGGTTCAAGTCGACCAAATCATTCGAGTAAAATCAATACAATAAAAGACGAAACGAAATTACAAGTTCCAAGTTCGAACTTTAAACTACGTACAAATATTTTACAACTAACTTGCTTTACTCCACCCAACAAGCGATCAATAATTGCTTGCTTTGTAATATCTACACTTGCCAAGTTCAACATAATCTCCACTGAACTAACATGTAAAAAAAATAGTTTTATTTGTCGGACAATCAGAAAAATAATTTAAAATAATTAGATAATAACAAAGGATGTATAAACGAGTACCTTATGATCGCTTGATATCACCACATATCAACTTTCACCACTCATGCTAGCATCAAGAAAGTTATGAGAAAATACAAAGTGTTTTCTACATGTAAAAAATATCCACGATACACGACAGTATTATTGAAGCAGTTCACAAAAGAAGACAAATCAAGGAAATTTACCAATATGAGCAACGGAAATGATGTAAATGAAATATTTGAGGCAAATGGCAGGACGTCACAAAGAGAGGGGGAACGTTGGGGGTGGGGTGGGGATGAGAGAGTTAGAATACATAAATATTTACCCCCACAATTAACATTCTAGTTTTGCCCCTGGCTGTATTACAACTAACAAAATTCTGTTAAACCAAATACCACATGACGTCATTGAGGGTAATTACATGTTTGTAGACATAAATCGTCCAGGTTAGAGTAGAGTCGTGAGGAATGTTGATATTTACTGTCTCAGAAGCAAGTGAGAAGATAAGTATGACATTATCAACAACACCAACAGTCTTTCTCAAGGCTCTACTAACTTGGACGATCTACATCTTCATTAGTATCTATTCAGAATAGATGTGAAAATTGCTTTCATTTGTTTAGCAAATTCAAAAAGGTTTTATACAACAATGAATTCTGATACAACATACAAATCATCTGGATCAAGAACATTTGGTAGACTCAATTTTGATAATCTTGGAAAATCCATTTCTTCAATAACCTTCCACTCTTCCCGAACCATCACAGATGCATTACGTATCCTCTGAGGAGTCTACATATAAGTTAAATATATAGATATAAAATTACAGTATATCCATAAGTGTACCAGTCATGTTACTATATATTTATTATGTATCCTCTGAGGAGTCTACATATAAGTTAAATATATAGATATAAAATTACAGTATATCCATAAGTGTACCAGTCATGTTACTATATATTTATTATGTAGCCTCTGAGGAGTCTACATATAAGTTAAATATATAGATATAAAATTACAGTATATCCATAAGGTGTACCAGTCATGTTACTATATATTTATTATTATCCTCTGAGGAGTCTACATATAAGTTAAATATATAGATATAAAATTACAGTATATCCATAAGTGTACCTGTCATGTTACTATAAATTTATTATGTATCCTCTGAGGTCTACATATAAGTTAAATATATAGATATAAAATTACAGTATATCCATAAGTGTACCAGTCATGTTACTATATATTTATTATGTATCCTCTGAGGAGTCTACATATAAGTTAAACATATAGATATAAAATTACAGTATATCCATAAGTGTACCAGTCATGTTACTATATATTTATTATGTATCCTCTGAGGAGTCTACATATAAGTTAAACATATAGATATAAAATTACAATATATCCATAAGTGTACCAGTCACGTTACTACATATTTATTATGTATCCTCTGAGGTGTTCATGGTTGAGGTACATCCGTTTGTGTACCATAATATCTTATGCAAGTTGCATAATTACTATAAATTTATAATGTATCCTTTGGAGTTCAAAGTTTACATAAATGTAACACACTATCACAATTCTTTTGTTCGCTTTCTTCACTGACGTTGCACCTTAAAACTTACCCTCCCTCAACTAAGTTTATTACAAACCTGATTTCTTCGTTCTTTCCAGTTGTTTCTGTTGGCAAATTGTTTTTGCAATTTACGATGGAGTCTGTTGTCATGAGTCTTCAGCAAATTCTGCATCCCAGCTTGCTGACGTTGCATTTGACGCTCTTTATCACGTCGATTATTTCTCTAAAAAAATAAAAAAAATTATGTTAATGTTGTTCATATGAAAAGGAGTAATTTAGATGAAGAAATTTACAAATATAATAAAGAAATGATTTCATTTTGAGACTTAAAAGTATAGAAAAATTTTCTATTGTACCTGATTGAATTTGTTCCTATTGCGCATGTAAACAGGCTTTTGTGGTCGACTTGTGTCAACAAGATGGAAAGTTGATTCATCTTCTTCGTGATAATATGCATATTGATTACCACCACCAAATTGATTTAAGTATTTATCTATAGAAGTAAAACAAGATGATTAAATTGCATGAAAATAGTGAAGTCTAGACAAAATACAAACTTTGGTATCAACGATCTTGATAGGCTGTACTTGACCAATCAGAAACCTACATAAAATGAAAATGTATGTTATAAGACCTGTATTTATACAGTCAATACAAGAAATAATATTTTATTCTCTTAAAAGTGTAGAGTGGTTTTTAATGATGACTACATAACAATGTTTTACAATAACAGCTAGTAAAATATGATTATAAATTTCACCACGTGACACAGAAATATACGAACAACTAAAGGTAAGAGTGGAAGACACTGATAGCAAGGAATTTCTTAAGAAATATAAAATATTTTACCTTGCCAAGTTTATCTCCTTTAGAGAATGGTTGATAAGGTATTCCTTTAAATGCATCTGAAACTGAGGTAGGACCCCAGCCGTTTGGATTAACTTCGATGACAGGAGGAATAAAATGAGTATTGACTAGTTTGCATGTTTCCATCAGTCAAAGGTAGAACGTCATCATTGTTTGTGACCGACGACCACACCGACGACCCGATGACAATTAATACCAATTTTTCGGAAATCATTTTCGGCATTGTTTTACTGAGAAAGCAAACGATTGCCTAAGCTGCTTAAATATTATAGTTTCTAACGATAAAATGAAACTTTGTAAGAAGAAGTTGTCCTATTTTTTATCAAATTTCAATGTATATTGAACAGTGATACTGTCGTCAACGTTGTTTTACATAACAATAAAGGCCCACAATTATTTGCCCCGTATCCACTCAAGCGACGCAGACATTTGACGCTTAACTCTTCAGAACGTTGAATTTATCTGAAAGATTGAATGTTCAAAGTTCCAACCGTCGACCAGCAAAAGGTTTGTAAGACAAAAGATAAAGAATTATCATGTGTGTTTACGACGTATAAATGTGACCTTAAATACAAAATGTTTGTCATATTTAATTAATATATTTTTACTAAATATTAGTCACACCTTAGTACTATGAAATATACATCATAGATACCCGTAGCAATTTGTAATCCTGTAATTGTATACCAATCAAACGAAGTTGCAAATACAAACAATTTACTTACGAAAAATAATTACTGCCATCGAAAGGAAGGCCTGTTTATCGTGATGTGTTTGTTTGCCAAGAAATTCAAATTGCTTGCTAGCATGCAATTATATTCATCTTTGGGTCCGGACGGTATATTTATAAAATATGTGTTATTTCATTATACTTGTGATAGTATGAAGTGACATTTATGAATCAGGAGGAAAATTAAGTTTGAAATTGCAAATGGACTCATGCATGCCATCATTGATCTTTTAAATATTTAGTCGAATTTTTTTAAACATTTAGTCGTTTTGTAACGTTGCAATTATCTTTCGTCGAGCTGTTGACGCTAATGTGATACATGCAAGTTCATCATTGAATAGTTTAGATATTTAAGTCGTTTTAGAAGTAGAAATATTGAAACAAGAAGTGGGTTTATCTTTGTCATAAACTATAGCATCGCTTGTTCAATTTTGTAAGTCCGCATTTTAAATGGGGCCAAAAAATTTTCCTTATCTTTGTGACGTTACAATTGTTTTTCGTCGATGCTTAGCTGTTGACGCTAATGTTGATATGTGCAAATTCATCGCATTAAATAATACAATACTGAAGATCTCTGATTTCCTATCAACTTCATAACCTTATGAGTACATCAAGGCAATCAAACAATTCTTCACATCTGTGTAAAAGGAAGCATGCATATGTGACGTCATTCTTGTCACGTGTCCTAAGATATAAATATTACAACTTATTAATTCCTTTTAACCCTCTCACTTAATAGTCATATTAACAAAACTAACAAATGTTCATGACACAAAGTTAAAACTTATCATTGTTCTTTGACTTCAAATACTCCCAATAGCTTTGTAAAGTTTTGATATTAAACTTTTGAGAGTCTTTTGGTCATTAAATCAACAAACATGTCTTCTGTTTGGCAACACTTGAAAGAAATGATGTTATTTTTGACGTGTTGTCACACATAGTGATACGACACATCTACAGTGGTTGACCAAAAAAAATGTTCCCGGAATGAAATATGAGTTTTGTTTATAAAATTCATGAATTTAGAAAATTGTTCAGAAATAATCGTAATAAAAACAACATTTTTAGTAAACGACAATACTTAAGCAGTAATTTACAAAAAAACTTTGCATGTGCAGAAATGTCGACAGTCCTGCAACACTGAAATAATTCGTCATGTTTATATATTGCAACAAAAATCAACACAAACATCCAGCAATTTTTAAAACCAACGCAACGTATACATGAAAATAAAGATGTTGAATTGTTAAGAGTGACGAACAAGACGCCGTCTACAGATATATCAGAATAAAAAAGGCGAAGGGATCGTGAAATTCGATATATGCTAAATGCTGGAGTCAGTGTTTGTGATTAGGAAGTTGCAAAGAAGTTTCTACTAAGTTACTGTGACGTAAAATACTGAGTTCAAAGTTGAGGTTAACTTGAGATTGTAATCACACCTCCTAGTGGTAGAAAAAAACAATAGACCACTGAGAGAAGGAATATCTTCATTGCTAAAACCTTAAACTTAGGTACCCTTTTAAAGATTTCTTTTTAAATCTTATAGTTCCAGACTTCATATGCAGCCTTTAGATAATCTTTGCAGCTTTGCAAATGTTTTTTGTTGATGCTAAGGTTTATTTATGCAAAGTTTCGTAATAAATAATCAAAAAACTGAAATTTTCTGATTTCCTCATCAATCTGATATTGAACATTGTTACATCATTCACAAATGACTATGCAAATTATTGAAATATATATTCTTATGTCTGTTTTGTAACGTAAAATTTAAGGTAAAATATCATGTTTTTTTAATTTTTCTAAAGGTTGTTTGACAGGATACTGCAGTTGGTAAAAGCTGTAGCATACATGCTCTCTGTCATTATTAGTTTTTAGGTTCGTTTGTAATTTTAAGACGATTTTTGGTGAAGTTAAATCAATTAAAAAATAAGTTTGATTTCGTCATCATGTAAATTCGGACTTCAATGGAACTTAATAAGGGTTCTATAATATTTTTTTATTTGCTTGATTTTTATCTTGTTGATATATACCAAATTTTTGTACAGATGGAATCGTCAGGAATAAGAAATCTGTCTTACATTCAGCAAATAATTAACGTGGTGCAAAAGGAACTTGCTCAGTTTTTCATTAAACAATGGAACTCTCGTTACAAATCAACTTATGGAGAATGGGATGATACAGTCAACAGTGGTAACAAATTTTACAATTTAGAATCAAGAAGAAAGTTAGACCAAAAACTCGACAAAATATCAAGATGGAGATACCAGTAAGTGGGACTGTACGATATTATTTGATGCAATAATTTTTTCAAATTCAATTGGAAAGCACCTTGACAAAAAAAACAAAGGATGCTGTTCATGCACTTCGTTGTGAAAGAAACAAGTACGCACATTGGTATGAAAGGGAATGCTCAGATGATGATTTTGATGATATAGTCAACATCATTGAAAAATCATTTCAAGATTTAAAATTTTCTCTCAATGAAATCAATAAAACAAAAAATCATCGAAAGTGTTTTACTTCGTTCCAAGTTCTTCCTTCAAAATCTAATCATTTTTTTGTTGAAAGCACTGAATTACGAGGTAAAATTATAAAAGATCTTGAAAAATTAAGCAATGATAACAATGATAAACTGACATATTTTTACATCACTGGTAATCCTGGCAGTGGTAAATCACAACTAGCAAGACAGGTTTGTGAAAAAATATCGTGTGATTGGAAAAATAGAACTTCGTTTGTAATGACTCTCGATGGAAAAAATGAGGAATCTCTTTTAAAAACCTACTGTGAACTTGGATACCGTTTAAACTGTGACAAGTATATGATTAAAAAATTTGAAGATGAAAATTGTTCCATCGCAGACAAAGTGAAGAATTTGCGATCGTTAGTATCCACACGATTAAAATTCTGGCAAAATTGGTTGATCATTGTAGACAACGTGGCACAGCTTAGCAAAATTTCTTCATTACTCCCCCAAGTTGGTGATCCCATGTGGATAAATGGACAAATCATAGTAACTATCCAGAACACAGATGCCGTACCAAAAGTGGAATGAATGATAAAGACGATGAGTTTAACAAACATATATCTATCAAAAGTGGAATGAATGATAAAGAATGTTGTCAACTGTTGGAATATTACACTAAAGATGATAATACTGATGATCAATTGTTGAATGAAGTATCGCACGCATTAGATCGTCAACCGCTGGCTTTGGCTGCCGCTGGTTGTTATGTCAGTCGTGTAAACAAAGCAAACTGCTCATTTACTTGGAAAGAATATTTAAAGAAAATATTTTCAGAAGAACAAGAAAACATGGACGCCACTTTTGTTAAACTTAACTCGGTATATCCTAGAAGTATGTTACAAGCTTCACTTTTAGCTGTCAGACAAAATGCTGAAGAATCCACAATATTGGCAATGTTATTAACTTTTTTCCGTGATATCGTTTGATCCTATACCACGAGACATTATTGTTTTTATGTTCAAAAATTGATCCCAAACACTCAAAGGAAGATATATGTCTTTGTTTAAAGGACTGCTCATTGTTCTTGCATTCAGAAAATAATGACATTAGTCTACATCGCATTGTTCACAAAGCAATTATTGTTTATCAATCTGAACATTCAAATGAAGAACATGAAATGGAAACTAACGTTGATCAAATATCTAAAGCACTTTACATGTTTAAAGAGAGAGACGACGAAATCAAATTAATGCCACATCTTGAAAAAATTGTTCAATTATTAAAGACCAACAAGACAAAAATCAACATGAACACTTTACAAGTTTTCCAATATTTTGTTGACAAATTAAGACATTTTGGAAAATACGATCTTGCTTTTGAACTATTGGATAAATTTAAATCAGAAGAATCTAGTTATGACAAAGCTTGGTATTTTACTGAGATCGGTATTTTACACAAAGACACGGGGGGATATGGCAAAGCTATAAATTATCACGAAAAAGCTCTGGAAATTCGAAAACAATTGTTAGGTCCAAATCATGTTGATGTCGCTACGTCTTTAAACAATCTTGGTACGGTGTTTTATGAAACTGGAAACTACGACAAAGCTATAGAGTTTTACGAAAAATGTCTGGAAATTAAAAAACAATCGTTAGGTCCAAATCATGTTGATGTCGCTAAGTCTTTAAACAATCTTGGTTTGGTGTTTTATGAAACTGGAAACTACGACAAAGCTATAGAGTTTAACGAAAAAGCTCTGGAAATTAAAAAACAATCGTTAGGTCCAAATCATGTTGATGTCGCTACGTCTTTAAACAATCTTGGTTTGTGTTTTATGAAACTGGAAACTACGACAAAGCTATAGAGTTTAACG